CAGCATGTATATATAGTGAAATTATCACTAGAATTTCACTTATCACTACAATATCACTCAATTTCATCATGTTTCTTCTTCTCGCTTTCTTCGCTTTAGTCAACTCACAAGCAGTAAGTAGTACTGTCCTCGGGCTCTTCATATAATGCATCAACTTTTCCTATCTAGCAATATAAGAGTATCACTGACCTGCTCCTAGCTGAGCAGATTTCAAACACCATTGTCACCTCAACAACAACGACTACCACCCCTACCATCGAACCCAGAACCACTCAAACACATGGAACCAAACTCAAAGACATTGGTGAATTTATCCAATCTCTTACTGGCTGTTTAGCAGCTCTTGGATCGATCACGGGTACGGTTGTATGTTGGTGTGGAATAAGATGTTATCGCAACGGAGGGGAGTGTAAGGTAAGATATTAACGCCCCATACCTTAATGAATTTAACTTAACTACTGCTCTTCTTTAGAGCGCTTGGTGGTACCCGAAGACGTTAAATGAATATCGTCGTCGACGTGATGCAGCGCGAGGTGAGTATAAAACTGTTTTTCCAACCAAACAAAACATGATTTTTCTTCTTTTCTTACAGGCAGACAAATCGCCCTCAACCACCTCTCCATATCAAACCCTACCACTGACCACTCAAGAGCCTGATCATTCTATTACTTGATTTTCCATTCTCATTTTTATTACTGATTCCTTCTTTTGCGTCAATACAAATAAACTTCTAAAAACGAAAAATAATCAAGGCACCAAACAGCGATTTCCTACCTGCTGACTCTGTCAAAACTGAACAGTAAGATGAGCACTCAATAGAGTATGAAAAGTTCTATCTGGAGCCATCAATAATGGGGTTGCAGCCAGTGAAGAAACGAATCGCGACAGTATTTTCTCATATTTACCCTTGACGGCATATGATCAAGGTACTAATTAGCGATTTTCTCGTTGATGACTCTGTCAAAAGTGAAAAGTAAGATGTGCAATCGATAGAGCGTGACGAGTTCTATCTGGAGCCATCAATAATAGAGTTGGAGCCAGTGAAGAAACGAATCGCCACAGTATTTTCTCATATTTACCCTTGACGGCATATGATCAAGGTACTAATTAGCGATTTTCTCGTTGATGACTCTGTCAAAAGTGAAAAGTAAGGTGTGCAGTCGGTAGAGCGTGAAAAGCTCTATCTGGAACCATCAATGACCGAGTTGGGGCCAGTGTATTAACGAATCGTGGCGGGTTTTCCCGAAATTGCTGAAGTTGGCTGTCGGTTTTTGACTATAATCCCTGGATTTCTCCTTGATAGTGTGATAAAGTTTTGGAGCGAGGGCGGGAACAGAAAGCGCTTGTCCGGTGGTGCTTGGAGCCAACGGAAGCAGAATTGGAACCAGGCTGTGGGCGAATCCTTTCAGGAATTGCTCGAATCCTGACCTAGGATATCCTACGTGAAAAGGGAACAGATACTGAAAACCTTCTGAGAATTCTTTCTAGGCTATTCTATAAGTGAAAATCAGCCCTAGGGCTCTACTATTCTTATTACGAGCTGCCGCTCATGTCATATCTGGACTTCTTCCTCTCCTTGGCGCTGGTAAACTGGGTCTTTTTGTAGATCCAAAATGAAGAAAAGCGGATGAAGAAAGTGGAAGACGACACGGCGGCATCAACAGGTGAAGCACAAAAGAAGATCGAGGAAGGACATAAACAAACTGAATTAAACATTAAAATAATGAAAGGTAAGCAAATAACACTAAGATGGTTATCTCATGCACATAGTCTTTTATTGTTTTAGAAATTGATGAAGAAAAAAAGTACGTGGAAAACAAAGAAAATCCGAATTAGAACTTCTTATGTGATGATGATAACCGATTCGTGACTTAACTCATTAGAAACTCTTGTTTGTTGATCCTAGCGAATATTGATTTTTATGCTAGCATGTTTGAAAGTCTATTTATTTATTCGTAATAAGAAATATATAGATTTAAAGTTGAAGAGAAGCTCAGAAACTGAAAAGTGTGTAGAAACACACGGTGATTTACCTGGATTCACTCTTGTTTCGACAAGGTACATAGCACATTGATCATGCATCTCTTTGCATGAATATACGGTGTTGACTCGGCATATTATTCATTTGATTATCCAGAATTTCTAGCAAAGGAACATTAAAACACGAAATAGAAAAAAGCGTTTCTGTCTTCCACCAAGTATAATAAATAAAGTTGATCTTTCTCGCTCAATATTTTCGTCTAATTGTATATAATTTGAAAACCAATTCTTAAAGGTAATCGAACAAAACGGAGCAATTTCGCCTGATGAAATGGCTAAACATTTTAATTTATGCATTTTTCTTAATAGCAACGATAAAATAATATAGATAGAGGTATTGCTTGTTAAAGATAGGGATAAGTACCGAATGTTTCGAAATATATTAGGAAATTTTTTCAATAGTTTAGGATCTATGGAATCAACATGCTGTAATCTTAAATCGATAATTGATTCAGCCAAATATGAGCATAATGTTTGATCATCAAATTGATTGGTAATGTTTAAAACCAAATCATATTTCAGATACGATGAGTGTAAGCTGGTCATTCCTAGCAGTAACAATTTAAAATCAGAACGACTGTGAACATCTTAGAATGTCAAAATTTTCACGGTTGAAATATTAATTAGTTTGGTTATTTTCTCAAAAAATAGTCGATAATCATTATATTCGTTGTTTCCATTAATTTGTAAATATGTAACATTTGGATACTGACGTGCAATTGTGGTGGTACAACTTTGGACTGATGACTGACAAATAGATACACCGAACGAGGTAACACTGTTGTAAGCTTGTGACTCACTTGTTGATGTTGTTAGGGTTTGTAAATCATATGGCATTTTCAAATGCATTGATGATATTTTACATGGAACCGAGTAAATGAATAGATTTTCATAACGTTCAAACGGATAATAATCAAGTGTGATAAATCATCGGTGACCGCTTCAAAAAACTGTTGTGAATGACAATAGTAATTCATTCAGATTTGGATTTTCTCCACAATAGCGGACACATACACTAAATTCAAATGACTGTAATAGTGGTAGGAATTGAACAATTAATCGTTCCCACATATTACCATTAACAAATTGCAACGAATTTCCTAGAGAAAACACGTACCAAAATGTCTCGCAATTGATAAGGTCGATGATCTGTGTACTTACCGGAAAATACGAACCTTTTTAGTTGCGGCATATGACGTAAGATATATTCCGTTTGCTCATATATTCTTCGACTTTTTAATGTAAAATGAGATAAATATTGTAGAGATGGTAGATTGTATTCCGGATATTGTTCTTCATGCGTGTAAATAGTAACAGAAAAACGTTTTAGTTTTGGTACGTGTTTTAGTAATGCCATCATTTCATTTATGTTATAATGACGAATTTTCAAATACTCTAAATTTATAGGTGCTGCCATTGTTGTTTGAAAGCACATTACATGGGGAAATGATAACCGACAATGTTTTAACGTTCTCAGCTCTTTCCAAACGATCATTTTGCAAATTTTCTTTGTGTCTATTTCGACGTCATTTCCCAGTCTTGGAATAAACTGAATCTGTAAATAATAAAAAAGAATAGATATAAATTACTGACTTTCTTGCAAGACACTATTATATATTTCTGAAAATAAGATGAGTGAACAAAACGCTTATAACTCCTGAAAGAAAAGATCTAGAGCTCTGCGGTTTCACCATTGTAAAGAGCAGCTCGTGGGACGTTTATCCATGTAGAAAGTAAATTTTTCTGAAGACGTTTTCCAGGCAAACCTCGTCTGGTAAAACCCGTAGTACTTCAAAAATTGTCGAGATTTTTTTTCCTTACGTGGACCATAGAGTATTGACTACCCGGATTCCGAATGCTACCATACCAGCTGCCCTTAGGTTTTCGGAGAGCGGTTTTTCTGAAACTCTAAACAAACACTAAAACCTTTTCTTAATGAGTTAAGATTGTAGCTCGTAAATTTCTGATTAAAATGAGACACCTCCCAGCTCTATATGACCTGTCGTTGCAAAGGTATGGAATTTACAAGAGAAGGCCTAAATGTTCATTGTCGCCTCAAAGCCACAGACAGAAGAAACTAATTTAGGCCTTCTCTTGTAAATTCCATACCTATGCAACGACAGGTCGTATAGAGCTGGGAGGTGTCTCATTTTAATCAGAAATTTACGAGCTACAATCTTAACTCATTAAGAAAAGGTTTTAGTGTTTGTTTAGAGTTTCAGAAAAACTGGTTTTCCAGAAAACCGCTCTCGGAAAACCTAAGGGCAGCTGGCATGGTAACATTCGGAATCCGGGAAGTCAGTACTTTATGGCCCACGTAAGAAAAAAAATCTCGACAATTTTTGAAGTACTACGGATTTTACCAGACGAGGTTTGCATGGAAAACCTCTTCGGAAAAATCTACTTTCTATAAGGATAAACATCCCACCAGCTGCTCTTTCCAATGGTAAAGATCGCAGCTCTCTAGTTCTTTTCTTTTAGGAGTTATAAGCGTTTTGTTCTCTCATCTTATTTTCAGAAATATATAATAGTTTCTGAAAATGCCGCTAACCCTTTGATGAGTAAACGTAAGAGATAAATTTGTTAAGCATTTGAATTTTCCTAATTTTGGTATGAGTTTTATTATGTTTGATGATACTAATGCACATATCGTTAATGATTTTAATTGTGTAAATTCTTCAATATGAATTAATAACTGTAAGGTTGAATGTTTTCTAAAGCGATCATCTTCGTCTTGAAATCTAAATGAAACGACATGATTTTTCGAAATTTTTGGTCTGATCGTTTCACAGAAATAGTCAAACTTTTTCTTTCTATAACTTAATAATAATGCATGAAACATAGTAGATGACCATGATTCTTCCAAAGTATGTACGTAGAAAAATCCACCGCTTCCTTTTATTTTCCCTTTAACTAATTAAGAATTAGTCCAAGAGACTGACAATTCATATGGGCAGCGAAAAATTCTCTGCAAGGCTAGCTAATTTCTAATTGGAACAGTGAGACCTCGCCGTTTAAAACAAGTTATTTTACTTTCTTTCAGCCATTTTAGGAGTCAGGTGGAATCAGTTGAAGTCATTTGGAGTCAAGTGGAGTCAGTTGGCGTGTTGAAGTCTGGAGTCCGCTGGCTCCCCCTTGGTATTACTCCTGTCTGAAATGTAAGTTTTATTCACGGGTTTGCTTCTCAGATTATTCTACTTTCTCAGGCCATCTGTATGTAGAACTGAATGTCTGCGTAGTTTTACTAACGAGGGAACCTTCGAGATGTCCGCTTCCGATTATTTTGTACATGGATCAATAGACCTCAGTGAGGTAGTAAATACCCTAAAAGAATTCGTGCCCATGACTTGGGAAGGGCTAGTTTTTTGGAAACCCCTTAACCTTCATTAATAAAGCATGATTGTAGTTCGCATATTTCCGATTAAAATGAGATGTCTCCCAGCTCTACACGATCTTCCTTTGCAAAGTTATCGAATTTACAAAAAAAGCCCTAAATGTTGATTGTTAGCTCACAGACATAAGAAATTAATTTGGGACTTTTCTTGTAAATTCCATAACTTTGCACAGAAAGGTCGTGTAGAGCTGGGAGATGTCTCATTTTAATCAGTAATTTGCGGGCTACAATCATGTTTATTAAGGAAGGTTTTGGTAATTTTTTGAAGTCCTTGAAAAACTGGTTTACCAGAAAACCGGGTCTGCAGGAATCACGAGCACGAATCGATTTAGCGTATTTACTACCTCACTGAGGTCTATCGATCCATGTGCAAATCGGTGGAATCGGAAAGGGACATGTCGAATGGTTCCCTGGTAAGTGAAACAAGTTAGAAAAAACTGAAAATATTTAAGTAAAGTGCTGCTAATTAAGGGTGGCACATTACTGTTACTTTTACGAGCAATTCAAATTTTGTATATATACCTATTATCAGCAACAGTAATACTTTTCAGTTTCACTGTTGCCGGTATAAATTTTATGAACATTCCTATTACCAGCAATAGTAAAACTTGAAAGTATTACTGTTACTGATAATAGGTATATATACAATATTTGAATTACTCGCAAAAGTAACAGTAATGTGTCACCCCTACTGCTAATTCAAAGTTTGAGCAGAATTGTTTTTTTGTTTTTTTATACATAGTTGGATAGAGCTTGACGAGCTGGTTAAGAATAGCGCGTTTTAATTTTTTGGAACGATTTTTACCAGAAAAATTTTCAGCTTTACCAGATGCTCTATTTTTCTTCAAAAAAGCTCAATTTTCGAAAATCGCCAAAATTTCAATTTCATCATCTATTTTAAATTTCAAAACTATTGTTTTCGGATTTCTCATGAAAAACTGAATCTTGAACAATAATTTCTGATGCTATTCAAATATAATGTCACCATAATTCTTTGAACCTGAAGGTGAGGGGTCCGCATCGCGAAGGAGCATTTTGCAAACCTATCTAGTTTTTTCCGTAAAGAGATATAGCCGACTTTCATACTTCATTAGGACTGCTAAAGGTCGCGCTTCAAAAGTTCGCATCGAGTTTTCCAAAATTTTATTTTATTGCTGAAAAAAGCGATTTTTTCTATAACAGAGGCTGAAAAGTCGAAATTTTACCCGTAATTCACAATTTTCTCAATCAGAATGCGACTTTTATGTAATAAAAATATCATATTCAGAATCAGCGTCAAAAAATGAGTCGAATGATGTACGTTTCGACTGTTCTGTTTTATTTTCAGTTTTTCGTGAAAATTTCAGTAAGTTTTCGGCGGGATAATTCGAAAAAAATGAAAGTGGTTGAAAAATACAGAGATAGATTTTGGCGATTTTCGAAAATTGAGCCTTTTTTAAAGAAAAATAAAGTATCTGGTATAACTGAAAATTTTTCTGGTAAAAATCGTTCCAAAAGATTAAAACACACATATTCTTAACCAGCTCGTCAAGCTCTATCCAACTATGTATAAAAAAACGAAAAATAAATTCTGCTTAAACTTTGAATTAGCGGCACCTTACTTAAATATTTTCTGTTTTGAAACGAAATTTTAGTCCATTTTGGTTACAATTAAGTTTTTAATTCCCACAAAAGTCTCAAGGGTACGCATGGAAACCCAATCGACCAGGAAAACATATTTAGTAATTGTCAATAGAAATTATAATTATCAAAATATTCTTAGAAGAAGAAAACAAAATGTGTGTAAATAAATTTTTCTTTTTTAATATGAAACAGTTTATTGTCCCAAAAATGGTTGACAAAGTAAAAAAGATTACTATCTGCAAACAAAAGTACGCCATTAGATTGGCCTGCTCGATGGCTAAAGTTAGAGAAAAGTGCCGTGTTTATATTATCTTCAAATTTAAAAAGTATACACACTGGATCTAGTTATATTCGATATATTAATCACTTGAAGGCTAGTCAGCAGATATTCCTTACGATAGAACATGTTTACAAATACATAATATAATACATGTTTATAATTCTGCATTCTTCCTTTTCTTAGCCCTTTCTTTTCCTTTCGACAAAATGTCTTTCTCGATCGGGAAAGATTTTGATCCTGTCTCTATTCAACATCTCTATAATAACAGATCTGCTAGAAGCACGTCGACTTCAGCTGGCACCGCGTCAATCACTGCAGTCTTTCGTGCGCTTTTCAATGAAACCAACTAGAACATGCGCGGAAGCGTTATAAAATGCGGTGAACGGTTTCAAGTAGACATGTCGAAATCTTTCCCGAACGGGATGCATTTCGCTTTCCCAATCCAGAAATACATCTTTCCTGAACCGGAAATATTTCCCGTTCGGGGCATAACTCTTGCAAACGAACTGGCTGTCGTCACAATCGCTGCTCAGTGAACACCTTCACAAACTTTATCGCCTTTCTCAATTTGTTCCAGTCTTCAAATATTAAATCTCCTTTTTCAATAGCCCCTTTTCAGTGATTACATTATCCCAGCAATCCGTATTTCCGAAAAAGACTAGAGCTAGCACTATTTAGTTTAAAACTATAAGTCTAAGTCTGCAAAACAGCTTTAAAGGCTTCTTCCATGATTGTTAGTTTAAAAAACAAGTTTCATTTTTTAGCTCGTCTATTCACATCACTCTCCAAGACTTAGCCTAAGAAAACTGTTACTTCTTTAAACACTTTTCCCGGAACTAGTCTTCTAAGTTTCACGGAAACCCCCTTGAAATTTTTTCCACCATCGAAAACTCAACCACACCCAATAGGGGATTCATAAAAGCTACCCATACTTCTTCTTTCTACAGATATAATGCTTCAAACCTTCATAAAACTTCAAAATTATTCCTTAAAATGCAAACAAATCAACGAAAACGTAAAACTACCTAACACTTAGCGGCTAAAACCGACACGCCAGATATCGATTTTACACCTTCCATTCTAGCCATTAACTCCCTATTAACTCGAGTACTGACAATGCTTAACGATCTGACAACCACGCCAACGCCTTTGAAAACAACAATCCAGCAAACAGCAGTACCGCGTAAGTATAAATACCCTGATCGCCATGCATGCGTGCAAAAAAAAAATTTGTTAAATCGAAATGTCGCTTCTTTATTAATTTAACGCTGAAGACAAAGCCTGCTCATTTAATCGCACCACTTTCACCGAATAAACACTGGTAGAGACCGACGTATTTCTTAGTGATTGACTAACTTCTTTCCGAAATATTCCCTCGAAATATTCCGAGGAAATAGGAAATATTCGAAATATTCCCTTAAATAGGAGTCATATATTCTGCAATATATTCCACTACTATACATTTTTTTCATGTCCAGTATGGTGAAAAAATTGGCCATCAAAAATTAGAGTCCGTTCAACGAAAAGGTAAGAGTACAATACGCTATGTACAAAGTGTACTCCTCCTTTCTAAAGAAAACAAAAATTTTAAAACCAATGCGGATATCAGGTTAAGAATTTTAATAAAAAGTTTTAATCAAATAATAAAAATAAAAATAAAAATTAAACAATTAAAACTAAAACATTAAAATTATAATTCGATATTTCGATCTATTAATACGGTCATTTTCAAGTTTCTCCTCGTACAGGATGTTACATAAAGTTTAAAACAAAATAACTGATTGTATATTATCTAGTGTTTTTCTAATCTAGGCACACACATCACAAAAAAGGCTGAAAGTCCATGTGCATGACAGGGAGAGAGGAAAGAAAGAGAACGAGATTATGAATGGAGAGTTTCGTTATATGTACATTTTATTTTAAACAAGCGGTTGAATTGAAAAGAAATGTTAAAAACACTAGTGTTGAGTCATGTAAAGATAAAACCTACTGAAGAAAAATTGAATTGAAGTATATGAGAGAAATATTACTGTACTAGCCTCCAACACTTTTCCTAGGAGCCATTGCACGAGAACCACAACAAGTCATGCTCAATGAATGTCTCAGATTCTTTTCAAAGTAGTCTCATCGTATTTAGCATATGTGGAAACCTATAAATCCAAATTTTCATCTTCTCCGGACTTTTAGTCTCAGAGTTATAGACGGTTTTCTGAAGACCTCCCGACGAAAAATTCAGCATCCAAGAAATGGAAAATAAAAATAAAAATTCTGTATCTCGCTTAGTTCAGGTTCTGACCGAGATTTTTTCACTATGAAAAGCCGACCATGTGGGTTTTTTTATGACACTCTCAAATCATTTTTATCTCAGGATCTTCAGCTGGAAAACTTTGGTTTTCTAATGGCCTCGGGCATCAAGTTGTTTTGAATTTTTTGCGAGGTCAGCCACCTAGTATGAAGCGAGAGTCACATATTCTGGTACTTTCAAGTACGGACTATCTAAATCCGATTTCAAATGTTTGAGCCTCACAAAGGATCTCTGGAAAACTCACATGGGTTCTCTAGAAAACCTTTAAATATTTTGACATTCGGAAGTATATTGGATGGATTTTGTTCTGAAAACTAACATTGCCACGAGATTCAGCATAGTCGATAACCTATCTTTTCATTCGTTTTTGACAGTCCCAAACCTAACGGCACAGGAATGCTGAGGCTTCAGGAAAAACATCCATAGCTCCCGAACCATCGATTTCTAAGATATCACTTAGATCTAGTTCTGCAAAGGACATTTCGGACTATATATCCACGTGAAGCAATTCATAGATTTCTATGCCAACTTTCAGAGTACTGAACTGGTTTTCCAAAGATCTTCTGAGAAACTGGCTTCGGAAATTCTTCCAAAATTCGCTTTTGCTTACGAAAACATAGCTTCAAGCCTTGGCTAGTGAATGATGAAAACCGCAAGTCTCTGTCTTTTATTCCTTTGAAGTTATTCAAAAAATAACCACCGGCCTTGTGTTTTGGAATGGATAGCAGTCTAGTCTATAGCGGAAGTTATTCTTTAATACAAGTGTTTTTTTGCAGCTCAAATTGCTGAAACAGCTGACTGAATGACACATTATTCGATTCAGTTTCTGACACTAATCACGAATATGGGCTCGGTTTCGCTTTAAAATACTTTCTTCAAGCCAAAAAATGCAAAATACTCTTCTTAAAATTTAATGATTTCTATGTGATACCTACTGTCGGTGGCACTAGGGGCTTTCAGTTAGCTTAACGTTGCCCACCGAAATTTTTTCATCTCTTGATAGATCAAGGTTGGAACTACTTATGCACCAAGTATTTCCAAAATACGTCTTATGCCATAGGAGAAAATCGATTTTGAAAACTGGCATTTTCAGCCAAAGCCGCTACTTTCGATGCAGTTTTTATTTGAGCAAAAGCGAATTAGAAGCTCACACGTTCAGGTCTTATAGTATTCAAGGTCCTCTATCTAATGGTGTTTTCAAAATTTTATGAAAATGTTTCGTTTCGATACAGTATGGCGCCAAAATAGACAAAATATGAGTTTAGGACGTACCGGATACAAGTCACTGTATGAGAACGAAATCATTCCCAGAAGTCGGGTTTATTTTAAATCGAAGAAGAATGTTGGCTCTATTTATGTAAAAAGTTTGAGCTCTTTATCTTATATGATTGCCGAGATATGAGCAACACAAAGTTGTCAATATGAGAGATGTCGCATTTTTCAAAAGTTGGTCGAAATTTTAAAATGCTCATTTCTCAGCAACCTAGCAATATTTTTTCAAACGGAAAGCGCCATTTTACTCAGAAATGTCTATATTTTCTTTTATGACTGGTTTCAACAACTTCTATGAGATACGTTTGAGCAGTGTTCTATGTAACGTAGTCGTCGCTTATGTGAAATGGCTCTTAAGTCCTTTTTTTTGTGAAGTCTTGTTGATTCGACGTTCCATGCTGCACTAAGTCAGAAAAAGAAAATGATCTTTTGAGTAGGAATTGAAGAAAAGCATAACTACAGATTCTAGCCTTAGTAAGTTAGAAATCTGTCCAGCCCAGCGTTCTCTTTCCACAACAGACAGTGATTGAAACTAGAACTATTTTCTAATTAGT